GATATTGTCCTATCCTAACAAACCATACATCAATGGAAAGATTATGAATTCAGATGTATGTATAAATCTCAATTTCGAAAAATTATTTTATGAAAAGTATTAATATTTGTTAATAATAACAGTAATAAGCATCATCATCACCATCATCATCATCATATGGTAAATGTATAATTAATACATTATTCTCCTTCCTAATAATAATAATAATAATAATTCTGACCCATTTACAATGCCTTCAAGTGAGAACCAGTCTACTAGTTTGTCAAATTGTTAAATTATTATTATTATAGTATTAATATAATTTAAAATATTTATATTTATCATAATGTATTATTATTATAATAGTATAATTATTATATATTATTATTGTTGTTGTTGTTGTTGTTATTGTTGTAATTATTATTATTAATATATTATATTTATTTTATTGTTTTGTTTTTTCAGGACCGACAGCTCATTCTACTTCATGGCGTTCTTCTTTGTGTTCATGGCACAACTTTTTATTGCTATAATTCAGGCCATTGGTATACCAGGATGGGGTGTTTGGTAAGATCATGCTATGATTTATTCTAAAAATAAAAAAACTTTAATTAATACTCGAATATCAGGATGCAACATACCATATTCTAGCATCAACAGCCAGAGATGTGTGCTATTATTCATTGTTCTCCATATCTTCTGGTCTCTGTGTTTCAGCGGCTGGTTGGGCACCATCTCCTTCTTTGGCACGAGTATCTTTGCCTCCATCATCATGTTAATCCCCACCCTCATGTTCACCGCAGTCGCTGCCATCTCGTTTATCGTGCTCACGAAGGTACGGCCCTCTCGGAGCTATTAAAGGCCTGGGTTTGCCTCATTGCCTGCGCAGTCGGCCTGTCTGCCTGCAGTTACAGCTGGTTTAGCTCACATGTCTATTGAAGACTGGGAGCCGGTTTGTTGTCTGGTGTCTGAAGTGTCATTAAATGTGATGCTGGAGCATGCCGTGCTTGTTAATTAGATGCAAGAGTAAATAAATCTTTTACTTTAGGATTTGTGCCTGAGACGCCATTCAGAAGCCAGTAATAACTGTTATAAATCGAACTACCAGTGTTAGTTTAGCATCGAGATATTACATATAAATCAGCCAATCTTATATATACAGTACCTGAAGTCCTGCTTACAGTAAGCGGGTCAACAAACTCTCTTAACTTCAGTTAACTGCATTTAAAATAAATGTAAAAATTCTAATACATTTCATTGTAAATAACATGCAGTTATGTGCCTGAAACATTCCGTTTGAACTTAATTATATTATTTTATTTCCATAATGAGTGGTCTATTTCAAAGAGCTCTAAAGCCTTTCACAAGGATTGTACATTGCTTGAACATTGCAGGTTCATAACTTCTACCGTGGCAGTGGCGGCAGCATGAGTAAAGCGCAGGAGGAGTGGGTGTCTGGCGCCTGGAAGAACCCTCAGGTCCAGCAGGCGGCTCTGGGTGCAGCGGCCGGAGCGGTGCAGGGCCCGCAGACGCCGCAGTACTCCACACAAAACTACGACAACACCATGTGAAACACAGCCAGAGCATCAGTCATCAACACACACACACACACAGGCCGAGCCACACACCCGCTGAGCCTGAAGTGAGGTGGAACGAACCGACTGATGCTTGGTTGCTCAGTTTTTAATTTAAATGTTTGTGTGTTTGTTCATGTTTTTGTATCTGTTTTAGCCTATTTGCTCCCTGCTTTCTGCTAACGTTCCCATTAAGTTATGAAAACATTATTTCAGAATATATTTCCTGAACATTCAACACGACCATTTTTTTAAAGGTTTGAAAAAAAAATGTTTTTTT